ACAAGACAGGAATACCGATTGGAAGGACAGGTTTTTCATACCAGTTGTGAATGGACCTTGAACTTGGACTTTGATTCAGGTATATTGGGTAAAGATAGTTTCTTGTGCCAATGTGCTGCAAATGTTATTCTTGGCACTTTGATTCAAGGCTATGCTTAAACGTGACATTTACTGACGTACTCACTCACTTTTTCATAGGTTTTTTAAGGATAAAAAGAATAATTGACTATAAATGGAAACATATTTTAAATACTTCTTGGACTTTTTCTCTCTTTCCTGAGAATATAAAGGAGGGAACAAGACAAGAGAAGTAATACAGGCAGTCCCCAAGTTACAGAACAGATGACTTCTGCAGATTTGTTTTTAAGTTGAATTTGTATATAAGTTGGAACACACACACACACACACACACACACACACATGAATGAAGTTTTGGGTAGCATAGGGAAGGATTAACATCCCTGTGGTGCTTGTTTTGTTGTCTGTGCCCCTGTTCAGAAGTTTTCACCTCCATTTCTGTCCTTGTGATCATTGGATTTTGAAAAAAAAATGGCTTGTCATAGAAACAAGGATTGGTGATAAAGTTTCAGTGGAGACACCTTTCCCCCATGATAACACTTCCAGGTGTGAATTTCCTTTCTGAGGAATAGATTTCCCTCACTTCCTGTTGTCTCACTCCTGTTCTTTGATTATTTATTTATTTACAGTATTTATATTCCTCCCTTCTCACCCCAAAGGGGACTCAGGGTGGATCACAGAACACATATACGGCAAACATTCAATGCCGATTATACCATGACAAGACAGACAACAGATAGAGGTATATTTAGGCTTTTTCTCATCATTTGGCATCTTTTGGAGGCTGTGCTCGGTTGCGGTCACAGGGAGGTGCTGTCACTCAATCTCCTTGCCAAAGAGCTTTCTTTGTTCATAAACTTTCCTATAAAATGTCATGCCTAAAATACTTCTCCGCTTAATGTGGTTCCTATTCATCTACTCACATTGCTGTTTTCAGTCTGCTAGGTGGGCGGGGGAGCTGGACTGAAGGTCAGGAGCTCACCCTGACCTGGCTCCAAATGGTCAACCTTTTGGTTGGCAAGATTTACTGCAGCTGCAGCTGGTGATTAACCTGCTGTGCTAAAGCTGGCCCAAAACTGGCTCTTTACT